TACGAAAATAAAAACAGAATTGGTAATGCACGAACAAACTACCTAATTTATAGCAGAGCTTTTCCATTTTAATCGTAGTCTATTATTATAGAAGACTAGATGTGTCGTTATTGCCACGAATGCCCCCGCAAGCAGCCAAAATTTCAAATGCAATATTTAGTTTGAAATTTTTATTCAAACTTGACTCGTATTTTCTGGTAATATACCTGCATATGCAATTTCAACCTTTTACACACATCCCTACAAAAGTAAGAATGCGGAAACTGAACATTTCTTATTTTTTCCAAGTTCTAGAGGGATAACTCTGTCATAAATCATTGGAACACGACCAAATTCAAATTTGACCTCTATTTTCTGGTAAAGTACGTGCACATGCAATTTTAAACTTACATACATCCCTACAAAAGTTAGAAAGCTGAAACTAAAAATTTCTTATTTTTTTTTCTAAGTTCAAGAACGCGCTCGCTCCGTGATCGGGAGGTCGTGAGTTAGAATCTCGGCCGCGACGGACTTAAGTCGATAAAAAATGGGTAGAAACTGTTCCTTCGCCATGCGCTCGGCACTTTGAAGTGAAAGTTGCGGGTCCTTTGGATGAGACCTTGAAAACCGAGGCCCCGTGTCACGCCAGCCGTTGGCACGATAAAGATCCCTCACTGCTCAATGGCCCTGAGTGCCGAGTTAAGGTCAAAATTTGAAGCCCTTCACCGGTATATGGTGACGTCTCTATATGAGTGAAAAGGTCTCGAATGGTACGTAAGACAACATACAATCAATCAATCTAAGTTCAAGAGGGATAACTCTGTCAAAAATCATCGGACAATGACCAAATTCAAAATTGACCTCTATTTTCTAGTAAAATACCTGCACATGCAATTTCCAGCTTATACATACATCCCTACAAAAGTTAGAGAGCAAAAATTGAAAATTCGTACTTTTTTCTAAGTTCAAGAGGGATAACTTTGTAAAAAATAATTGGACCATTACCAAATTCGAACTTGACCTATATTATCTAGTAAAATACCTGCTTATGCATTTTCAACCTTATACATACATCCCTACAAACACTGAAAATTTCTTTCTGAAATTTTTTTTCTAAGTTCAACAGGGATAACTCTGTCAAAAATCATCGGACTATAACCAAATTCCAACTTGACCTGAATTTTCTAGTAAAATACGTGCACATGCAATTTCAACCTAATACATACATCCCTTCAAAAGTTAGAGAGCGGAAACTGAAATTTTCTTATTTTTTCTAAGTTTAAGAAGGATAACTCTGTCAAAAATCATTGGACCATGATCAAATTCGAAAGGACAGAATGACGGAAAAGGGTAACACTATATGCCCCGGCATTCAATGGCGGGGGCATAAAAATATAATTAATAAAGACCCCTCACCTTTTTTCAAACTGCAGGTATTATTCTTATTAAACTTTGTATTACCAGCTATGATTACCGTGGTGTTTTGTGATGGAGAAATTATAAACCAAGCTCGTCATCCTTTACGCAGCTATATAGTTGCATAAATTAATATTATATTATAAATGAGCAATAAAATTGTTCTATAATGTGAAAATTGGAAATAAAATCACGGGCACTGGAAGTTAATGTAAATATTGAGTATGTGCATGTATAAAGAAAGGAAAGGTAGGACACTGTTTTTGAGGCAAATTCTGGTTTGAGGTATTGTGGATGTTTTTTTAAACGGCCTGACGCGATATCTCCTCTCTATATACTTTACTTACAATATATATCTTGCTTCGTTCCACCCCAATGCATTTTACTTGAAGAAATAGACGTTTTTACACCTCCAAGTTCCTAAGAATTTTGCTAGACTGCTCTACTTCCGGTTACAATCACAAGTGAATTTAAAGCTTAATTCACTAGGGGTTTTTAATTGAATGAATTTGAAATATCGTTATATTTTTTCTGAACACATGTACCTAATTTTTAATGATTAAATTTGCATAACACCAATTACATGTCGGGGAAAAGTTGATATTTGAGACCCCAAACATAATAAGAAAGGGCATGGAATATTCTTAAACATTATGTGCAAAGTTTTTGAAACATTTTGCCTATCATGTGTATTGGGGTCATTTAACACTACCCCCACCTTTCCTCCTTTAAAAGTATATCTTCCTATTGTGCTTTTCATCAAGATTGTTTTGTTCTTGTAGTCTGATGGGTGGTTTTTTAGTCCTGTTTCGAATAATTGTCATTCAGATAAACAACCATTACTCACATTGAAAATTACATAAAATGGGATAATTGTGCTCTCCTGTTCTAAGTGAATAATAAAAATGTCCTTAAGTTTTCTTAATTGTTAGAAAATTAACCTTATCTCCAAATTTACAGTGCTCATAGCAGAAGAAAATATCATTTTTATGCAAAATACTTGAGAAGGAAAATGTCAAGACACATGAGAACGCCCTTCAGAGAGCAATAAAATTTCCAAAGAACATCTCTCTCTCTCTCTCCATTTAAAGAGTTCCATAACGTCAAATGTATTTTATGCTACATTATAAACATGATAGATAAAAACGACGCATTTGCAATAAGAAAAGATATAAACCATTACCAATACAGTTTTCTTCTGCAGTGGTCTCAATGGTGTAAGTCGTCAAATTACGAGGACACTGTTTGCAGTAAAACCTGTCAGCAAGGCTGAGGCTTGTATCAACTGCTGACAAGTTTTTATATTTCCCAACAGGACACGACTCACACTCCATTGATATGTTATCTAGCTGCATTCCTTCTGTGCAGATAACTATTGAGAAAATTAACAAATTTTGTAAATAACAGATTGAGTTTATATTTTCTGTTTATCCTCTATGCAGTGAAAAAGTTAGTGAAAAAGTTTTACAGTCTTCATACGAAATTCGCAAGAATATCGTTTGAATATAAAAGTACTAGTGATCAAAAGGAACAAGGACGATTTTAATATCGTGAGAAAATATGATTGCATGAAAATCGCAGGAATTACATATAAAATCACAAAAAAGATATACATATTCACATAAGTAACTTTTCGTGTGATAATTGAAGGTTGGTTTTTGCATCATTTTCGCAGGGAAATCATGCAAGCCACGTTTCCCTGTGTGTAAATGCTGTATATGAATCACATTTTTGTCGTAACAATTAATTTTTTTTAAAATTTATTACAAGTTGATTACATGCTATGAAGTCTTTACTTATTTTTATTCAATTAATGTTAGTGAAAATACAAAATAATTATTATTATTATTTTAGCACTTACGTATGCATTTGTCCTCACTTAAACTACCAGTAAATAAGGTAGTCCGATTGATTTCACAGGCAGTGCAGTTCCAGCGTTTCTCATTGGGAGCAGTTGTGTTAGCGCTTGAGATATTTTTATACTGTCCTACTGGACACTCACGACAACCATTGTGAGGACCAAGTTCTTTCCCTTCTCCACATACATCTGAAATTCAGGGACATATCTAAATCTGCTTGCCTGTAGAGTTTTAAGACATCTCTTAAATGATTCATGGGAAGTATAAATCAATTATATAAGTAATGGAAATGCAGTTTCAGAAATGATATATCTTAGATGGAATGAAATACATGGAGATAACAAACAATATTCATCTTCAGATAATAGCGTCATGCAATAATAAAATAGACTTTATATATATAATATAGGATCTTACAATCAAGTAGTAATGTAGAAGGCACCAGTGCGTCATCGAAATTTAAAAAAAATCTCTATTCAGATTCATTCTGGTAAAGATCCCAATTCATATATGTTTTTACCATGCTTAATGCTCAAATTTTTTTATACTTATTCGATCGTTTAAATCCTGCTTGTTTCACAAAGATTGTCGGGGGAAAATATGACTGTGAAATGTTCAACTTTCAAACATTTACCAATACATCCGGTAGCACCACGCCCATACGTTGTTTGCTCTAAAGGACAAGACTTGCACCAAAACCTGTCCTTGTCGTCAAGAAAAGTGTCATTTGCAGACAAATTTTTATAAAATCCAACATGGCATGGCTCACATTGTAGTGTATTGTTGTTTAATTCCTCTCCTTCTTTGCAAATATCTGTAAACCAATATCATAATATTCATAATCTTTACAATTTCAACATGACTTCAAAATAATCAAAGCATTTAAAAGAGTCTGATGTCATTCATATTTGAGAAATGAGCAATATTTTTCAAGTGCAAAAGATAAAGAGATACCGATGCATGTATCATTAATGTTTCCATTGGTAAATGACGTTTTTCCTTGTTCGCATTCGCTGCAATTCCATCTAAGATGGAGAGGAAGTTCTGGGTCTTTACTAGACGTGTTTTTATAAAAACCAGTAGGACACGGCAAGCAAAGACTTCCATTCCAGAACATCCTTTCTTCACAGTGAGCTAAAATATAAGTAATTTTTATTGTAAAATCTAATGCACTGGACACGTTTTACAGAAAATAAATAGCGCCATTCAAGAGTTAACTTGAAATATTAATTGATAGTTATAAAACTGAAAATAAATAGACATCCTAAACTTTACTGTCCTTTATTGAAACTTGGGGTACAATGATTTGATAGTTTAAACAGATAAAGAAAATTTTAATATTAGATAAAATACAAGACAGATATAATTTTGTAACATCATATGTACATTTGATGAATAGTGTTACCTGAAATGTGTGAGCATGTCTCAAGTGTTTTTTGTTTTTTTTTTCTAATTCCTTAAAACGCAATTCTCAATTGCAATAGAACAGAATGCTAGCAGAAAAGAATGCATAGGGTCGCATTTGGATAATTTCCATAAATAAAAAATTTGTGCTTAACTTCTAACTGATTTATTTATCCATTTTATATTTTTAATTTTTATTTTGGCTGAAGTTCGACATCAATGCGTAAGTATGCCTAATTGTAACACTTTTAGTTAAGGATTTTTTTTTCGCGAAAGAACAAAGTAACTAGATTATTTCTTTTTTTAATTCAAATCTGACGAATATTAAATTTGATAAATTACCTATGCAATTTTTCACCGAGCTGGTTCCGACAGTATAAGTCGTCAAACCTTTTGGACATTTCTTGCACCAAAATCGCCCCGCGACATCCAGATCTGTATCAACTGCTGTCAAATTTTTATAGTATCCAACCGGACACAGTTCACACTCCTTTGTTGCATTATTTAGCTGCATTCCTTCACTGCAAATAGCTATTGAGAAAAGCAACCCCTTGTGAAAATAATGTTCTCTATTCGGATGAAATAAAATATTGATAAGGCAATATGATACATCCTACGTAGATTGATATAATTATTGTATAACTTTATTTCTGATACTTAGGATAATTATGAATGTCATTATTGCTAGCTCTAACGAAGATTGATAATTCATGAGATTGAACAATAAGTAATCTTTCTCAAAATGAATAAAGGAACATTGCATACGTTTGAACTTTTTAAGCGACTTTTATGGCTTTATAAAGGTACATAAAGTTAATTCGGCTGAAAAGAATGCTCATCAAAACGCCACTTCATTTGAAGCACTTACTTATACAAGCACTTTCATTCATACTTCCAGTATACATGGTCGTCATATTTTGTGCACATGCTGTACAGTTCCAGCGTTTCTCGTTAGGAGCAGATACGTTTGCGCTTGAGATATCTTTATAGTATCCAATAACACAACTACGACAAGAAGTGTTGGTATCCAGTTCTTTCCCTTCTCCACATATTTCTAAAATTCAGCCATATATATATATATATATATATATATATATATATATATATATATATATATATATATATATATATATATATATATATATATATATATATATATAATGCGCTCACTGAATTCGAATAGCCAAGCTTTTATTGCCGAGATAAAAATGCATCAGGATGTTGCATTGAATACTGTAAAACATGGATACTTTTATTGGGTAACATTCTGCGATTTCCAAAGTGTTACATGTACACTGCGTTTGCATGGGGCTTATATTTGCTGAAAATTAAGAATTTACGAATTGTGATTGTCGTTTATAATGGTACCTTCTTTCGAAATTGTTTGTGCCGTGATTAGTTTTGCGAATTTTCCCAAACACAAGTATTTCCACGTAATGGTAATTCATGGGAAATTTTCAAATGGCATTACATTTTGAAAGCCAACGTACATGTCAATGTACATGTACCTGGGATGAAAGAAGTGAATGCATTCGTGCATACTATATTTCAAAAACTTGCTTGATCTATGGTTAAATCAAAACAATCAAAATATTTTAACTTGATGTCTAGTTTAATTCTTAGAGTAAAAAAATATCTAAAAAGGTTATATTGATAATTTTAAAATAAATGATTATAACAAAATTTAAAAAACAAATACCTATACAATTGGTGGATCCCTTTTCATACGTTGTGAATTTTGTTGGACATGGTGTGCACCAAAACCTTTCAGAGACTTCACGTTCTGTGTCATTTGCCGACACATTCTTATAGAATCCAACCGCACAAGGCTCACACTTGCTATTATTGTCAAACTCCATTCCTTCAGTGCAGATGGCTTATTTTAAAACAAAAAATTTTATAAATTAAAAAAGACATATGTCTATCTCATATATTTATACACGTTTTAATCAACGGCTTGCAATTGTGACAAATTTACCAATTATTCTATTTTGTAGGGAAAGTCACGTTTTTCTCATCGGTTTCAATAAAAATTTGAATGAGCCATATTTCAATAGAATATCATTTTCTTTTACATTTCCCTATTTATCAAATCGTTTTGGAATTCTTTAAAATAAATTAATCGGATACCTTAATTCCATTTATACAGTACTAATGAAGTATACGGCAAATGATCTTTATTGACAAAGATTTTCAACCGTTTTTCTTGTTATTCTTACACCTATGATCGTAAAGTTATAATGGAAAAGATTTTATTTTTTTCCTCAACTTTCCATCAAATCATAAGAATCCCCGGAACACAGTTTTTTTTAAACAGCAATTTTATTAAACACTTTTTTGTTTTTGCATGTCCAGAAGGATCACGAATCCGTGACAGAGAAACATTCTAAAATACAGAGATCATTGTAAAAAAATAAGAGATTGTGGGAAAATACCAACTACTGATCTTAATTTAGATATATAAAGAACATTAACAGCTTCAGAGGTCATAATTTACATTTGTTTTGAAAGATGAAGAAATCTGTCTTTAAATAATTTTTTATGATTATTATCAAGTCTTTGTTTTAGTAAAATACTCAGTATATTCTGTTGATGCTTCTTATGCTTATTAACTGTTCGTGTTTCTCTACTTACGAACACAGTCTTCTGAAACGATGCTCCCTCTGTAAAAAGTTGTGAAACTATCGTTGCAAGATATACATTCGTCGATCCTAGAAGAATTCTCTCGAAATGTACCAAAGTCGCATTCTTCACACACAAATAAGGGAAGTAGTTTTTCACCAGCTCTGCATCCTGTGTTATAATTGTAGATTACATCATGAAGTATTGTAATTAATAATTCATTTGTTTGCTTCATCAGTACAATAAAAATTTTAAATATAGTTTTATTTACTGGGTATCTTAGGCCTATAACCAGCATTCTATTGTCTTGCTTTCTTGAGATTCCATATGACATTTTAGGTTTACAGTGAAAAAGTATTACATCTCATGAAGTCGAGATACAATTATTTTATGTTTACTTAAAGATAAATAACAAATATACAAATGTTTGGTGGCGCATAAATATCCCACTCCTAGTCCAATGTTCTTATCCCCTCAAAAGAACGCAAAAATCAGAATGGACTTCAAACTTTATCTGCAAGTCCATTCTCAAAGAACTTTCCTTTAATCTACAGGTTTAGCAAAAGAAAAAAAATAAATAAAGCAAAAGTTTTTCTTTTTCTTCCTTTTCAAACTTCAATGTCAAAAATACCATTTAAAGTATGAATACCAGAAATGAAAATCCCTAGAAATGAACAAGTAAATTTGCGTGGATTTTTGAAATATAAAGGTTGCCCGTTTTATGATACATGAACGATTTGAAAATCAAAACTTAATATGTACTTGGCATCATAGAATCAAACAACATTAGAACAGAACAATGACTTTGTCTTTTATTTGTCCCAGAGAAAATAATGTAGCAAAATAGCTATATAATTTTGTAAATCCTGACATATCGATTTCACTGGAAAGCCATTTTAAAGATATAAAGACCTCGTTTGATACATGTATGTTTTTCTGTGAAGTCGATATGTAATTATAATAAAATTGACGTCATAAAAGGACTATATATCTATTCAAATAATATATATTTATATACATTCATAGAAATACGATTTTAATTCATGATTGTGTCAAATAAGCTCCAGTTGTGCTAAATCGTAAATACACATAATTGAGTGCATGAACATGTATAATTATATCTTCATACCTTTACAATCCTCATTGACAGATCCGTCTAAATCAATGTCGGTAATGTCGTTGTCTGTGGATAAAACAGTACAAGTATTACATCGATTTTAATAAGGAAATAATTTTATAATAGATAATGAATGAAATTAATTTACCGTTCCAAAGAAAACCACAATATTCTTCGTCAGTTAATCCGTCCTGATCATTATCTATACCATCCCCAGGAATTTGGTATGTTATAGTTGGCTGCACATTAGAAATTAAAAAAAAAACTTAGAATATATAGGTACCAATTGAATTTAGCAAAACATTAAGTTCACAAATTAATATTTATTATTAAAATAAATTATTATTCCAAAGAAAGAAAAGAACAGATAAGAAATCGAAATAAGGGAAAGAAATATAGATGTACAACTTTCTTTTTAAGGGCAAATATCACAGAGATTTCATTCACTTATTTTGAAATGAAAGAAGGAAAATTAAATATGTAAATGTTTTGGATGTTTAAATACTTACAAATTTTCTCTTTGATATGTTAATATTGCGACGCAGTGGCCAGTTACTGAGATTAATAGGTGAACGTGACGCAACTGGTACATACACTAAATTTGCGCCATAAGGTTCGAGCTTTGGAACAATGCGAAGAGAATTGTTGATCATAATGTAGGCTAATACAATGATTGATTTGTTGGCAGTTATTGATAATGAAGAGTTTGTATTACTCCACTCAAAACGCGTTAACTTTCCTCCTGTTTTAAGTAAAAAATGTTTAGTGTAACGTTCTGAATCCATGCTGGTAACATTCAAAACGGTATTATCATCTGTGGCCATAATAAATAATTCTTCATTAAATTTTTCCGACTTCGTAAGACTATATTCCATTCCTTCTGCAGGTAAAAGACTTAGTATGAAATAATCGCTGCCATTTCTTCGGTAACACTGAACAGAAATCACGTGACTAGCTGTAATAAAAACTGGTCCTTTTTGCTCAAAATTGAAAGCAGAAACTGTCGTTTGATGTAGTCTTGGTACATTTTCTTTGGAATAGTTTAGCTGGGGAATGGCAAATGACGTGTTATCAAATATGGTTACCACAACACATTCAATGATCCCATTGTCTTGTAACAGAGGAGAATTAGGAATGGCTACAATATACTGTGACTGTAAAAGGGCAACAGAGGGGACAATAAATTTGTTAGAACACCATGTGTTATAACATTTATACCAACATTTTAACGATGTTCGAGAGGAAATTAATGTTTTAATTACAATTGGTTTGTTTGCTTGTATATTTCGGATCAGTTTTTCTTCATATAAATTTTTAGTAGAAGGGTATATTAATGTCATTGTTTGATTAGTACCAGGAAAACACTTTAAAGATGAAGAATTCTCTGCTGTTGGAAAAATAAAAAGATTTCCTTGTGTAATAGGAATATCTGAAATAAATAAAACAAATAGCAAAGAATACTTTAATTTGTTTTAAATATGCTAAAGAATTGTAATATACAAATGTATCTGTTTTGATAACGAGAAGATAAAAAAAAACCCTCAAATAGCACAGCATAAAAATATAAGCTTTTGAGAAAACGGAATATTAATAAAAAAAATATTAAAATCATTTATTCAGTTTGCTGTATTTTTATGCCCCCGTATCGAAGACTCGGGGATATATAGTTTTTGCCCTGTCCGTCCGTCCGTCTGTCTAGCTGTCTGTTTTCTGTTTGTATGTTTGTCTGCAAAAACTTTAACATTGTCAATAACTTTTGATTCGTTGCAGCTATGGCTTTCATATTTCACATGTGTATTCCTTGTAAAAAGACCTTTCTTTGGACACCATCAAATTTGACCTATTGACCTTGACCTTGGAGTTTAACCCAATTTTGCAAAATTTTACCAAATTTTAACCTTGGCCATAACTCTTGAACAATTGACGCTAGGGTTTTCGAACTTCACATGTGTAATTTTTTGACAAGATCTTCCTTTGGATACCAACAACTTTGACCCTTTGACCTTGACCTAGGAGTTTGACCTACTTTTGAAAAACATTAATCATGGCCATAACTTTTGAACTGTTGGTGTTAGGGATTTTGTACTTCAAATATGAAATTCTAGTGACAAGATCTTACTTTGGATACCAACAACTTTGACACTTTGACCTTGAGTTTTAAATTGCCTACTTTTGAAGAACTTTAATCTTGGCCATAACTTTTGAACAGTTGGTGCTAGGGCTTTCATATTTTACATGTCTATTCCTTGTGATAAGACATTCCTTTGGATACCAACAATTGTATTCCATTGACCTTGACCTTGCAGTTTGACCTATTTTTGGAAAACTTTAACCTTGGCCATAATTTTTGAAGGATCGATGCTATGGCTTTCATATTTCACATGTGTATTTCTAGTGAGAAGGCATTTCCTTGGGCCCATTAATTTTGAACATTTGACTTCGATGTTTGATCTATTAAGTACTTTTGAAAAACTCAACCGTTTCCATATATATTCAATGGTTGCTGCTAGGACTTTCATATTTCACAGGTATATTTCTCGAGAAAAAACCTTACTTTCGGTACCAATTTATTTGATTTGCATTTGAGAAAGTTTAACCTTTGCTATTAGTAGCCAAAAAGGGGGTCATCAGTGTTTCACAAAGACATCTTGCTTAGAGATAAGTTTAAAAGTTGACAATTCAACCTGTGTTTCTGATGTATGTTCCCTCTATAGAAGATAAAGCTCTTGTTTTTATTTCAGGATTCGTGTTATTATTTTCTTCTAAAAATATATATTTATATAAAACAAAAGAAAGACAAGGCTTATACTTCTATATTTTTAATATTCCAAACAACCAAAATGAATTTGAATTACCACATCTATATTGGATTCCGAAACTTCATAAAAATCCTTACAAACAAAGATACATAGCGGGCTCCGGTAAATGTTCAACCAAGCCTCTTTCTTTACTCCTCACTAAGATATTAACAGAAGTGAAGGAGAAACTTCAAGAGTACTGTGCGACAATATATTCGAGAAGTGGTGTAAATCAGATGTGCATACTTAAAAATTCCTTGGAACTTTTGGAAAAATTTGAAATCAAAAGATTTTACAGCTTCAAAACTTACGACTTTTCAACTTTATACACAACCAATCCCCACGATAAATTAAAGTCCAGGCTATTTAATATCATTGCTTTTTCAATAAAAATGGAACTCGTAAATTTATATACCTTGTCATTGGTCATTTGCAAAATTATTTTGTTAAAAACATTCTGATTGTACACACAAGTACTCTGAAGTTGACATTAAAAAGATGCTTGAGTTTCTGATTGACAATATCTATGTATTTTTTGGAGACCAGGTCTTCCAACAATCTGTTGGAATTCCCATGGGTACCAATTGCGCCCCGTTATTAGCAGACCATTTATGTATTCAATTGAAGCAGAATTTGTCCAAAATCTTATACGTGAAAAGAAAGAAAACACTTGCTGTGGCCTTCAACTCGACATTTAGATATATCGACGACGTATTGTCAATTAACAATGGTTATTTCCATTCTTAGGTCGATATGATATTTCCCGGTGAGTTTGTGATAAAAGATACCATGGAGTCTGACACATCTGTTTCATATTTGGATATTTTACTTGAAAAAGACGTTAATGTTAATCTAACAACCATGCTTTATGATAAACGTGATGACTTTAACTTTTCAATCGTCAACTTCCTTTACCTATGCAAGAATATACCTTCATCACCTATATACGGGGTTTATATCTCTCGGTTGATTCGATACACAAGAGCATGCTCTACGTATGTACAATTTCTAAAACGAGGTAAATTATTGACAAACAAGTTGATGAAACAAGAATATTAGCAGTCTCTTTTAAAGTCATCATTTCGTAAGTTCTATGGTCGTTACAATGACTCACACACATTTTTTTCTTTAAAAAATATTGCAACATTGTTCATCTGAAAAAAGATACATCGAATCATTATTTTGATCTATAAGTGTTAAAGAAATTGGACTAAAACTAAAGGAGGAGTGGCCATTTGAAAGATTTTCATAGAAATTGCTATTTCTTACGGAATTGTATCACGGCCACTTTTTTTTTATTTTTCATTTTCTACATTTTAATTTGTAAAATTTACACTTTTTAAAATCTGTAAAATTTATTTAACCTTTAAAATCAATACATTAATCTGTAAAATTTATACTTAAATCTGTAAATTTGACACATTAATCTGTAAAATTTAAATTTTATCTGTAAAATTACACTTTAATAAATTTTACACTAAATCGCTGATTTTGCTTTTATGTACATGTATATTTATTTTACGAAAAGGTCTGTTTCTTGTGTATTTGTTATGTTTTTAAGGTCATCCAAATTATAAAAGTAGCTTGTTTTCTTTTATATGGCATTTCCCCCCCCCCCCCCCCGAAAAGGAAAGTTTTAAATATGTAGAATGTTATCAATACTAGTTTTCAATTAACCTGCCCTAACCCTGGACCTGAACCCATGACCTAGCAGATATGGAAACATATACCTCCAGTGGAAAACTTATTGTTTATTATAACCAAGCAGTTTGTCAGCTGAAGTTTAGAAGCAAAGATTGAGATCTTAGTACACACCTTTAACTCCATGGAAACCTGAATAGTTTAAAGGTAAATTCATGCATACAGATACACGATACATACACTCGCGTTCCAAAAGCAACAGGTCACACGATGAACTTATGGTGTCTTAAATAGTGAATTTTGAAAAGGTTGGGGTCTTTAAGACTTCTAGAAACATGAAACTTTTCTATTTTTTAAAAGTACATGGATTAAGGATTGGAGATAACCTGCATTGATATTACATGAAGTGAGCTAGAAATAGTATTTTTCAAATATACATGTATGCTCGGATTTAAGATAAATGATCAATACTTTCATGATATTTAGTAGTAGTATATAAATATGTTTTATGATAAATGCCTATCAACAAGGAGGGTGAAGGGATATGTTTTCAATATCGACTTTGTAATTAAAAAAAATCTATATACGAGGGGTTATCAAAAAGTTCGTGGACTGATGCGATAAAATTAATACTATACAGTCTGTGCTTACAAAATTTATAAGTAACATAAAACAACAAAAGTTTAAGAAGTGTTGAAAATTTTAGCTCGATACGTTGATAAGTTTCCAAATTATTCAAAAATAAAAAAGACATTCTATGATCACCCGGCGCTGTCGGCGTTTAGTTTCATGACGCTCGACAACGTCATTGTCTCTCATTGTCCACTCTCTCTACCCCATACACTTATCTTGATGAGATTATTTGGAGTTAAGTAAGGGCTGAAGCCCATCTTGTTTATATGACTTTATAATGTCATGAACAGCTGCTTTCAAAACATATAATATTGTAACTTGATCTATACAAAGGGAAAGATCCTCACTTGATTATGCCATAATACTTAGCTTGTTGGAGTTCAAATTCTACAACACATGATCAACGTCACTTTTCGACGTGACTGATTTTTGACACCCTGACTACAAATCGACATTAACTGTGCATCTTTCATCTCTCTGAATCTTTTTGGGCATTTAAAAACAAGTACTCTGGATGGATTTTATTTCTCTTTTGCCCGTTTTAACATTCCGTAGGTCTATACCAGTCTTTCCAGGTTCGAAACTTTATAGAATGGTGGAAAAAGAAACCCCTCCCCCTTTTTGACGTCATTTTCAAGCCTTAATTTTTTGGACACTCCATATAAAATTTACTATAAAATTTGATAGAACGTACAGAATGGGGTAAAAATTGCAAATTTTACAGAACAATTGTGTTGCACCACATGCCTGAAATAACATGATTTTTTGATGACAAATGTTCATATCAAAGAGTTTTTCTCAGTTACACTCAGGTAGAAAAAACGTCATATTGGAGGTTGCGCCGCCTGGACATACAATTGCTTACAAAAACATTAAAAATTTATTTAAAAAATAAAACTTATGATTTATGGTTTATTCTATAGATAGAAAAGATGATGCTAACTAAATGTTTTAAAATTCATTGATGTACCTAAAGCGGTTTTAATCTTATGGCGCTAGTCCACGAACTTTTTGATAACCCCTCGTATTATGCATTTTAATTTTTAATCAATGATACTCGAAATAAACGATCAACGTTCTAAATTTACTATACCGTCTTTTCTGTGAATATTTGATTATCAATATCTATCAAACTGTCGTTTTCATCATACTGGTACAATGCCATACCTTTAAATTGTGTGAAAATTGGTAATGGCAATATTTACCTGTAGTTCCTCTGCAGTCTTTGGTTCCTTCAGAAGCGTTCCATACTAGTGAAAATAAAGAAA